AATAAGAGGGCATCTTTTCTTTCGAATTTCATTTGTTAACATCTCAGTTTTTCCGGCTGAAAAAATCTAAATTTCCGAAATTCCAGTGAGGCCCTAATGAGCAGAGAAAAATTGCACGACTCGCTCACGTTCCAAAGATCCGGAACACTGGGATCATCCGTCTTTCAGCAAATGATGTGGGCTGGAGACCAAAACGTCAATTACGAGCCTGCTGATGGTCTTCCGTCAGTGATAACAGCAGGTAAATATGCGAATCAATCAGAATCAAGCATTCACAAATTATTTTTAATTTTTTAAAAACACATTTTTAGCATTGTCGGGAGCCGTCAGTGGATTGACCAGAACCCATTCTGACATCGGAGGTTACACCTCCTTTTTCATCGCCTTGCAAAGGGACACCGAATTACTGATGCGCTGGGCCGAACACGCCGTGTTTTCACCGGTCATGAGAACCCACGAAGGTTGAAAACCCGAATTTCTTTTCAATTTTGTTTTTTTGGTCAATTTTTTAATCTGTTAGGGAGATTCTGTTACTGCATTCTATGTGCGAGACATCTCGTCGTAGAAGCCTGGCGAATCAGCAAAACATCGTCATTGTATAGTTGAATGGGATTTCGATTTTGCTCAAATAATACATCACCTGTATACATTGATTTAAAATTCTTCCATTTTGCAAAGAAAAAAAGCCGCAAGAATCAATGAAATAATATTCGAAATCTTGAATACAATATTCAAGTCTCAGGGAAGCGGTTTATTTTTTGTAGATATGTCGGTCTGAAATCGTTACATTTGCAATTTTCGTAGTGCACGAAGAAATTTATCCTTTTTCTCGCTGATTGCAGCTGTTTCAGGAACAAATTATAGATTACAGTATATCGTAAAATTTTTGAAAAGCAGCCAAATGTGGGAAGATTCCTGGGGGAAAATATCTCAAAGATGCGAATTTTTTAAGGAAGTTTTCCCTGATCATCCTCATAGAGATTACATAATTCAATGTTATCCAATTTTTTTTCCAAGAACTCAGCGAAATTCTGAGATGTGATCAGTCGAAGGAAAGGCGAAGAAAATTTTGATAAGCAGCAAATTAATATAGATGGAAATCGACCCCAATGGATTTATCCACCTGCCTTGCGCGTGTAAATGTTTTGGCGACTCGCCGGAATCTGCAGAAACTCCCTTGAAATATATATTTTTTGCAAATGTATTTTATTTAGGTAGCAGTCCAGAAGCCAATGAGCAAATTTATTCGGATCCTGCGATTCTGTCTGGGTTCGCACGGCTCGTGAATCTGTACGTCACTTTGTCCCCGTACACAAAGGCGGTTCTCAGTGACAGTTTCAGCAAAGGTTAGTTTTTAATGAACGGGATAGAATTTTGGCTTTATGTATTTTGACAGTGACTTGAGAAATATTGTCCATCGTATCAGGTTATCCCGTCATGAGACCGCTTTTCTTCGAATACGAAGACGACCCTATTGCCTACGAACAGCAATACCAGTACCTACTCGGACCTGATTTGCTTGTTGCTCCTGTCCTTCAAAAAGACGCCGTGAGTTTTGAATTGGAATCTTCCTTATGTAATTTTACTGACAGGTAAATTTTCGATAAACAAGTTGTCTCTTCTGATGTGACGAGATCATCTCTGAACGAGTAAGCAGCAGCTCAGCTATACGAAGTTATTACTGACGAACTAAAAACATGTGATATTCTGTTAATCAACCATGTACAGTATATTAATATAGAATTCACCTGTTTTATCAGAGGAAAGATATAGACCGCAAGTTTTGTGAGAAAAAAATTTTTGAACTTGAAAACAGCTGTTCAGAAAATATTTTAATCTGAAATGTAAAAGATGTAATTTTATTTATATCGCGTGAGCACAATTTGTAGGAAGCTCTGATATGAGAAAATAACTAAAGAAAAGAGCAGCGATTTAAATTCGAATGATGAAAATTCGAGAAGTCGAAATAAAACTTTTAGGCATGGCTTTGATACAATTTCAATAAAAATAGAAGCGGACGATCATTCAAATATAAAAGACGCAATTCTTAGCCTTTAACGGAATGGCTGAGAAGTTCTCAATTTTTTAAGGTAGCTTGTACTGTTGAATATTGCTGTTGGCAGAAACAGGAACACTGAAATCATTGTTAAAAATTCCCGAAATAATTTTGAAATATTATAGGCGACTTGGGAAGTCTATTTGCCGCCAGACGAGTGGCGGCACATCTGGAATCCTGAAAAAGTCCACAAAGGCGGCGGTTTCATCATTGTGGAAGCTCCTGTTGGCAAGCCACCAGTTTTCTTCAGGGACAAATCATCGTGGAAGCCACTTTTTGTACATCGAATTCCTATCACTGCTGACGAAGCAAATTTTGCAACATAATTTAAAAAGCCCCCGAATTTAAAACTTGAAGTGCTGGCTTTCCTCTTCTTTCATTCTCAACAACGGGGTTCCCGTGGTGGGGGCTTCGGTTTTCGGGTCAGATTTCTTTGGCACAGATGAAAACATTGGCATCGACAATTGTCGGTAAAGTGATCGCTCTTTCAAGCCCTTCAACGATTTCGACAACGACGACTCTCTCTTTGGCGGTGCTGTGAACACAAAATTCAAATTTTCTTGCGTAAAAATATTGTCAAATGACAATATCCTCAAGAAAGAGAAAAACATTTCCACTGAAAGTATTTAAGGTTCAATTTCAGCCCACTGTCAAAGAAACCGCTTTCAAAGTAAGGAATAAAGCTCGTCAGAAAATATCGAAGAAGCTTCATGCATGGTAAACTATATAGAACATTTTCTTTTTGCTTTTGCTGCTAATTTCAATGTCTGTTATACGAAAAATCGCTCAATTCAGCGGCCCTCACGAGTGGGCTGGCATAGATTTTAAAAACTTTTTGCACCTGAAAACTGCAACCTACTTATTTTTGGCACTAACCTGCTGCTGGTGGAGTAGAAGGAGCGGCAATTTTGCACAACAATGCGTCCTGAGCACCAGTTGGCAAAGCACAGATCAATCTGGCTCGCAGCTGAGTTATAATATTTGGCACGTAACGACCCTGTGAAATTGCGAGAATTTAAAAATGCATTTCTCAGGGTGTATTTGCTAATTCTTTCTTTGATCACTCCTAATAATATACCAGCGGAGCAGCGCCTGCAACAGCGTCCACCAGGTCATCAATAACTTCTGCGATTTTTTCCTTGGGTCGAGCGTTGTCTGAAAATTGCTTCAGCTTTAACTGTTGAGCATAAATTAATTTCAGGAAAATTCCAGATTCAATAAGTTCCATGTATTATGCGTTATTGTAATTACCAGGAAATCTTGATAATATGCCGAGCCGTAAGACTCCTTGATGTCCTCGGGTAATTTATCCCAAATGTTCTGCAAGTTTTTCTTCATATTTTTTTCAGCTGACAGCGGCGTTCTGTCGGATGAAACCCACTTGAATAATCTGTAAATTTCATATTTTGTGTGTGTCTGCAGAAATTCTATATACCTGTAAGCTGTGGGTTCCACGGTATGGATGGTGATACCCCACTTGACCATTTCTCTTCGCAGTCCATCAGCAAAGGACACAACAGCGCATTTTGACATTGAGTAAGCCGAGGAACCCGGGAATGTGTACCTTCCTTTATGCGTTCATTGAAAAAAAAAAAAATTAAAAAAGCGTTGTTTCATGCCTTTCGAAATAATATGAATAACCTTTATTTAGTTACCTGCGAGAGAAGCCACCATAATTATTCGTCCCTCGGATTTGCGCAGCAGTGGAAGGAAAGTCTTGGTGGCCCGAATGGGACCCAGGGCGTTTACATCCAAAATTTTCTGGTAAATTTCCACTGGGCACCACTCGATTTCCGTGAAAGCACCGATCCCAGCATTGTTCACGATTGCCCAAAGTGCTGTAAAAACATGCGAGTTTAGAATTGTCTTCAAACCATATAATAATAAGAACTGGTACTTTCCACTGGTAAAATTCACGTGGTTCCAACACGTTAAAGGGGCAATTATTGCATTTCGTGCTGCTTTCATCATTGGCCTAAATCAGGCAATGCATTATTAATGTTGACCTGTAACCTTATTGATATTCTTGGTAAACATATTCAAACATCTCATTTAGAATTCATTTCCATGTTTTTGAAGTGATTATTTCAGTATTATCGAGGAAAACTGCGGGTTCTAAAACCAAAGGGAAGAAAATAATCTGATTTTCCTCGACAACTTTGCCCTGATAATCAGGGTATGTGTTCGTAGTACTGTACTACAAATTATGGTACTAAATTGAGTCGGAATTGCGCAATAAAGCAAATGTGAATGGACGAGGGAGAATCCTACAAGCGAATGTTTTGCAACAACATCTGAATTCCTTCATTTTTTTCATAAAAAATACCTGCAAGGGTATGTATTTACAAAAAAATTACTTCCCATTGGTACTTTTAAACCCAGGAAAATAAATGTGATTACATTTATTGCGCAATAAAGCAAAGGTGAATGGAGGGAAAATCCTATACAAGCACATTTTTGAAACAGCATCTGAATTTTTTTCCTTCATTTTTCCATTAAAAAAAATACCTGCAAAGGTATGTATTCACAAAAAAAATTACTTCCCACTGGTACTTTTAAACCGAGGAAAATAAATGTGATTATGACCATCACAGCAATATAGAAACATTTCTCATCTGGAATGTCATTCGGAATGATTTAGAACTAGAAAAATATAGCAAAGTCATTCCGCATTCAGCACTTCATTCTCAATACAGCGTTAAAAAACAAATCTTTTGATACGAATTTGAAAAAGGGTGTGGCAGAATTAAAAAAAAAGAAGGAAATAATCATTGAGGATGACCTTCCACAGAAATATTACGCACTTTTGTTTCCCAGGGTGTCTTCTATGTGTTTCCTGGCGTCGTCAAGCGTTGATTGCTTCGTGACGTCAACATAAATCGTTTCGCACCTGGCTGAAGTGCTCTCACTGAGTTGCAATGCCTCGTTTTCTTTGGGATGCAGGCAACCCGCGTAGACAGTGAATCCAAGGGTATCCAGCCTTCTCGCAAGTGCATTTCCGAACCCCGTATCACAGCCTAAAAGAAATGACGGAAGGATTTATGCTGAACAGATATCTGCCATATATCATTAATTATATAGTCATTACAGAAGGTACAATATTTGTTGAAGATACTGAATGGGCTAATCTTCAGGTCTCGAGAGGACTCGAGATCAGAAACCATGCGTTCAAAAGAAATCACAGCATTCAATGACACCACAACGTTTGAAATTATTCAGTTGATGATTTTACATTGATGGATTCAAGCTATTAATCAAAAGAGGTACAGGGGAAAATGCCGACATGAAAATATTAATGACACAGAGTCACTGCTGATGAGAGACCCATGAAAAAAAATACAGTAATGCTGAAACCGGGAAAATTTCAACGAAAGACCAAATGTCGGGAGGAATCTTTTTGGAAGCCCCTCGGATTTTTTTTTTACACTATATACGATATTATGAGATTAGGAAAATTCAAATTTAAGCCCCTACATAACCATTGACATGAAAAAATCAGTAATAATTCCTATCTCAGATACAGTAATTATTTTTTAAAAATCTTAATTGCACATGGCGAAGATGCTTTTTGCGGTATACTAAAACCGTTTCCTCGCGATTAAAGCTTTAGTAATATTTTTTATATTTATATGATACGTGATACAACCTTGATTTCATTTCTTCCTCGCCTTAATTTTTCGAGAAGAATTTCCCAAGAGTTTCTCGTGCGTTTTTTTGATTTTGATAATACTGTATAAATTGTATTCTCGAAACAATGCGATTTTTCACATGTCATTTAATTCCCCGGCATTGTCTCCCCACCGAAATTATTTACTTGCCTGCATCATCTCCAGTGAATTTCGGTGTAAATCAATCAGCAGTGACCACTAAATAATTTTATGCTGCAAATGATTTTGACGCTAAAAAAAACTGAGGGTAGCGAAGATCAAATTTTAAAAAATCTGGAAAAAAACTTCCAAACTCGAAGTACAATTCTTGATTTACACTTATCCAAGGCCCTGCAGAATGTTAATGAAACTGGAAATTTGCAAAGGCGCGCAAATGCTTCCACTTCTCTACTGGATGACTTCAAGAAGACATCGTGAATGCGGACAAGAAAAGAAATACAATTAACATGAGATGCATTTCTTTTTGGCGCTTTACGGTTTTTCAAGAACGTCCAGAAAAAAACTTTTGAGCACCCCGAGACATTTGACACCTCTGTACGATGTCTTTTACATTCGCTTATCACAACGAAAAATTCCCGAAAAAAACAATTCCACGTTGCTCATATTTCAATAAAAAAAAAGACAGCATCATAAATCGTTGCACACCAGCAAAAAGAAATTAATGCGATAGAATTAAGAGGTATTCTCGAAACAGGTTCTTTGATAATGTAGAACATTTTAAATGCTCACAGTGGGGGCAGCTGTTGAATTACTCGGATTAGGTAAAAAAAAAAGGTGTTCTTTGCATCTTGGAGTTCACTCTTGTTAGTACAGTAAATAATTTCACTAACCTGTGATGAACACAGCCTTCGACTCAGGATCGTCAACTATTCTTCTGGGCAACGCATTTTCAATAGCATTGGAAACAGCTTCAGCAACAAAGAACGAGAAAACCAACAAACTAGCTGACAAAACCACAGTCGAATTTGAAAGCCACAAAAGTAGAAAAAACGCGACCACGTAAATAGAGGTGAACCTGATGGAATTACACCTTGCCAGTTCTTCCAGCACAGGTTTTTCTCGCTCTTCAGGCTCCATCACTGGAAAAGGACATTTTCAAAATTCATGCATGATATTAAAAATTATTGGACAACTCGGACACAACACCATTGGGAAATTGAACTGAAAGGATTCGTGGTTCAAATCAGTTTGATAACGAAAATTATCCTGCGTTTCTTGGATTATCCCACGCAGTTGAACCCACGGCAGTAGATATTCGAATCAACCAGGAATTTTTCGAAAAGGAACAAAATCTTAGAGGATTAGTCATAAGAAAATATGTTTGCTTTCGTCTCCTATCTAAATCTACGTCGTAATGCGAAAATCACCAAATCATCTCTTCTTTGTGTGAGATAAAAGGTTCCTCCACTTCATCTATGATACAATGATTTTTATAGCTTTTCAACTGAATAGTTCCGTCATCGGACGGAAAGTGCTGCACTTGAAAACAAGACCCAACGTTTCAAAAGGTACAAATACGTTGGAGAGGCTCAATTTTCTACGATTGAATTTCAAACATATAATTCTTGAGGAGTTTGTTATATCTAATCTCAATGTAATCGTACAAAAATACGTCAAAAGGGAGAGGAGAAGGAGTTCCTTCTTTAGTAAAATGAACAAATAATGTTCGATTCGTTTAATGGCAGTATATCCCAAATAAATCTCGCTCTGAAATTAATGAAAAACATTTAAGGTAACATTTCGAACATTTTTCATAACCATGTTCAGCTCCATGAGTTGCATTGGTGTGACAAGCATTCACTATTTTTAACCAGGATAGCTCAAAGAGATTCTTATTTCATCGTATCCAAACACATTTTGATATTTACAGTGGGATCAAACAGCTTCGTAACGAAAAATTGTCAATTTTTGTTTTGCACTTGAACTTTATTACCTATAAGCTTTCTAAGTTATTAAACCTCCATTTTTCAAAATTTAGTCACAATCTAAATAAGAAATACTGTAATCTAATGAATACCTATTTATATTCGAGGCTTTTCCCCGCCAAACCCTTATACTACTGCACCTTCAATTTCTGGAGGCCCTTCGTCTGTTATTTTGGGACCCCACAAAGGAGAAGAGCAATTAAAAATGCAACCTGATTATTTTCAGTTGGAAGTGATTGAGTAATTGGAAATATGTACTCTTGCCTCGGAATTCAGCATAATTTCAACCTTTTTATCCTGCATTTTCAGATCCAGAATATCACCAACTTTACCTTAATGTAATTCTTGATTTTTTTCCAAGCAAACATACTGGGCTATCTAACTTGAAAAGTCTCAAAGTCAACGCTCTTCATGAGTTTGAAAAAGATTTTGCATGTGCACTGGAATCAAATCCATGTGTCTTAGAACTCAGAGCAATCGAGAGACAGAAGAGTCAAATCCTAGTCACATCTCACTCCGATCTGGAATATCATATTGATTAGATGGGAGCCAGTAAATGTGTTCTTTTTTTTTTACAAACTTGTAGGACCTTTTAAACACTCGCACAACAGCCCAATTAGTATCACAGTCCGAGTAAAATTTCTCAAAGTCACGCGAAGAATTGTCACATGTAGCCACTAAATTTATATCTTCATCAAAAACTTTGCGCAAGTAAAAAAAAAAAGCTTCTAATTTTTGCCATTCCACCAAAGAAGAAAATTTTCTCACGCAAAAATACAATCCGAAATATATTTTGAAATACTTCATCGCTTCCGAATCCCTCAATAAAAAAAATACAATCTTCTTGTTATTTTAAATATCCTCCGACTCCTTGGGCACAAATTCATCACCAATTTCATACCTTGACAAACGCTCACGCGGCCAGCAGGGCCGGGCTATATAGCGACGGCACAAACTCCACACAACAGCGCGCGAGGCTGTAATCTCGGGTCTGCTCTTACGCTGTAACTGCGCCACATGTCGAACTGGGTGTCGACAAAAACCCATCGAATAGGGAAGTGGGATAAAGACGAAGCACGCATATGTGCAGAAGGATTCCGAGTGTCCGGGGCGTTTCGAAGACCACTTTTCTGCCTGGGCGGCTCTGATAAGCTTCACGGGAAATTCGAAGTGCGAAGAACGCGGAGCAGTATATATACTGTATATACGACACCGCGAGGATTGTAAAAATAAACGGATCTTGTCGAGCGACGTTGAGTCTCAGATTATGTTCCTTCAAGCATAGCGTAATCAAAGCCGTATTTGCATTCTGAATGGATAACAGCATATACTGTATGTACACTCCTGACGAGTGTTCAGTTTTCAGCTGACAGTGATGACTGAGCCGGAAATTGCATCTACGATCACGGAGTTTTCCGGTTAGTTCTAAGGGCAGTAAACTGATTTTATTGCAAGAAACTGAATGAACATAGTCATTATTGCACAAATAATTTATACTACCTAGAATCACTTGTGAGTAGTTTTTAAAAAGTGCTCCAAACAACGGCTGGTAAAATTATGACCCGGTTAATACACTCATGAAACTAAAAAATTCTACTACAGTACCATATTTACTAAAGTATCACACGCATGTTTTCCAAAATTATAATCAAAAAAATTGTGAATAGGCAAGCGACATATAATTGAGTTACTTCGGGTGAATTTTAAATCTTCAGCGAAATTTTCACAGCTAAATCCAGTCAAACGAATCAATCCAACTGAAATAAAGCCACTGATATAAAGTAAGAATAATTGACTATAAAAATCAAATTCAGGTTAAATTTAGGTCTAAATTCAAATATTCTTTGCAGTTTTAATAATGTACTTGCAAGACGCCGATTTTCATCAACTCAAAAGTAAGTTGAGTGTCTAACTTGGGAAAATTTCCAAAAGAAAGGAGAAGGCATTTTATTTGAAAGGAGGTGGTTACTTGAGTGAGTATACAGTACTGAGTTCAGAGTAAAGGTCCACAGCTGATCATCTCCCATTTACTGCTTTCTTTCCCCTAAAAACTTGAATGTTGAAATAAAAAAAAAATCTCATCCTGGAGGGTGACCAAATGCCGTCCATTTTCTAAAAATGCTGAACAAATGTCAGATTTATAGGTAATTAATTGGAATTCAATCAAGAGACCCTTTCTGAAATCATAGAGGAT